AACGTTGTAAGCGGCGTTAACTACAATGGATAAGTATTAACCTGGATAAAATTTTAACCAACGCAACGAAAGTGACAATTTGAATGCAGGCAATTTTATTCCAAATGAATATGCCGCTTGCGTGTTGAGGAAGCGAATAACTTATTCGATGGCACTTTTGTTAACTGGCCAGTGGTTGCTGATCGCAAGAAAGTGAGAAAGGTTGTTTGTATGTGTTCTTTGAATTGTCTTACGGAAGATGGCTTAGTTACAAAAGGAACAGGCAGATCACGGGAAAGTGTCGCTCGCCGTCGCTGTCTGTGATCTTTTGTTTCTGTTATGATACCACCTGCAAGGGGTGAAAGTCCAAACCCGGGCGAATAGCCATTTGGCTTCTCGCCCGGGATCGATCCCGGGCGAATAGCCGTTTGGCTTCTCGCCCGGGAGTCCCGGGCGAATAGCCATTTCGTAAATTTTATCGTGCAAGATATTCGCACGGATATCTTTTTACTTCGTGCACATTATGCTTTAAGGATCAGTTAAATACGTACAGAGTACATTAATATTTTATTTTTGCCGTATGTTCAGATGTTTTATTTTTAATTTCGTTTATGTTTGACACAAGAGGAAAAAACGAAAATACTAATACCTTGTTGAGGTGTAAGCCCGTATACGAATACTTCGGAACACAAGCTGGCGTATTTTAAGGAACTGTGCTATTTAACCCACGCAGATCGTTTACCTTTGCACGCTTTTCACAATCTTCTCCAAAATTAATTTTAATCCGCTCGGCTGTCCAATTAGTAAGCCGCTTGACATCCACTGGTTGATCCGACAACAGATGCCCTTCAAATACGTCCTACATCTGTGCCACATTAAGGGGTTTGCAGATGAAAAACGACCAGCGGAAAATCGAATTACGCAGTAACACCAAACGGATCGTAATCGTGGAAGTCAATAAAAACGTCCTTACAGATGATTCGCTCACAACATGATGCCATCGAGGCGTGCATTTGGACCATACGAGTGAACCATGCCGGTAAGGAAGAATACTCTAGCGCGGAAGGAAGAAAGCTTGCATCCAGCCGATAAATGACCAACCAGTCGATGCGAACGTCGATTCTATTCAGCATGCCTTTTATGTCGGCGATCGCCCAGGCGCAACGGGAAAAGGTTACCGTGCCGTTCTCGGTTTGGTCATGTTTATCCTCAGAGCAGTAATCGTCTTCCACAAAAATGCTGCGCGTAGCGGACGTAATGTGCCGGGAGAGCCAGGTGAGTCAGTCCGGCACGATAAATTGCGAAAAGGAAACAAAGTCGGACGGGCGGATGTCATTCACCAATTCCGGAGAACTGATAATGTCAGCCCACAGAGCGCAGACACGTCGGCAGCGCTGACGATCCACGGTGTCCAGGGAGAGAAAGGTTTCTTTCACCAGCTCCAACGGTAAGGGCAAACCGTGAAGCTCGTTGCCGCTCGGTTGCTCCGAGAAGATGTCGCCATTTTTTGCTTCAAGTGGGTCTCCTTCGAAATCTGCGATCTCCCCTTCGCTGCATTTCTACAAAAAGCTCAACAACTGCAATTCACTTCGTGGTTTACTGTTACTTAACCGGATGACCTGAACCGCCTTTTTATAAAAGCTTACCAGTTTATGTTCCGTTTTCTTTGATGTTAAAAGCTGTTCTACTTGCAAGCAAGGTTTCGGTCTCACAGGTATCATCAAAAGCCACAGTGATATTACGAGGTTTACATACAACCTTTATATGTTTCTTCCATCGTAAGAGCTCAATACGACATATAAACGTTTGCTTTAGAAACGACTCACTCTCTTTTTGCTGAGGGTTGTAAATGGTCTTGAAAGATCATAATTAAATTAAATCGTTCTTTCGGGGGGTTCTCGCGACTCTGATTGTACTGCAAGGTTCATCTGTTCTAGTGCAAATCAAATAGTATAACATCTGATCGTCATGTTCCATAATATCCGAGTTTTTAGACGACAGACATCAATTTATTGGTGTGCAGCACGTTCTGCCGCAAACAGTATCTTATCATTTTCTTGATTAATTTTATTTCTTTGTGAAGCCCAGAGCTATCGAACTATTGTTAACTAACGAATTATGAATGAAAGCTGATAGCGATGACTCGAACCATTGGAAACTTAAAAGACAGAGGTGGCGGCACTGCGACAGACAGAGAGACAGACAGACACTGAGGTGAGACAGAGGCGGAAGTACTGTACAGTGGAACCTCCCGACCCTGAACACTCCCGGTACGCAGTTTCTTGTTCAGGGTTCAGAGGTGTTCATGGTTCAGAGGTACTGTCCCCAGGGGCGGAGACTTTCTCAGGGGGGACCTGGCTTTATATAATTTATATGTAGCTAGCTAATAAGCATAATGTATGATTTGTGTCGATTTGGGCAAAACAACAGGTTAACACGGCCATCACAATTCGAAAAAATTAAATTTCAATATTCGTCGGCCGAAAAATTATCGAGAATAGATTTTTTTCTTATCAGAACAACCAGCGGTCAACTTGTCCGGGACGTGTTCCTTATCTTTATGTTCATTTAAAAACTAAAAATTTGTTTCCCAAATAGAAATACTAAACTGCAGACGAATGGTTACGAATGATCTTAGTGAACACCTTGAACACTTGATCTGGTCAAATTTACCAAGAAAACATACTATGGTACATAGCGGAGTGTTCACGGTTCAGAGTTCAGAGGTGTTCAGGGTTCAGAAGTCCCCCCTAATGTTATACCTTACGAGAAGCGCCGGCACGGAAAAAGTTGTTCAGGATTTAGAGGTGTTCAGCGTTCGGGGGTGTTCAAAGTAGGAGGTTCCACTGTATACTGTCCGAAAACACTGATTACCGTCTCATTCGGGCATGCAATCGCGCACTACATCGTGCACTCAGAATTAATTCAGCAAAGCCTGATTCAAATTTATTAAAACGGCTGTACAGCAAGTGCGCGCATAGTAGCTTTACACATTACTGATTATTAAGAACAGAAATAAAAAAAAATTAAAGAAAAATAAAAGAACATCTTAATTACGATCGGCGGCGACTCAGATTAACATTGAAGCTGTAATATAGAAAATTGGTGCGGCGGACCGATGGAGAGTCTACCGCCGCAACCAAACAGGTTGCAGCGCAGATTGAAGCCGCTTCTGTTTTTGGTAATGTCGAACTCTGGTTTTGTTCAACCAAAGCGAGCGAGATCTCGATTTCGTTATAAACTTTTACGCATTAGAAATAAGGTGCACACATAAGGTCACAACACATAAAAGAGGAACGAGCGGCGCAGCCGATATTCCACGCTGAACAGTCATAAGGAAGTTTGGCATCACGGTATCGATAGTTTCGCCACATCAGTGGAATATGGTTACCACGCTAGTTAACAAAGTAGTCCCGGGAAACGTTCAACATCGAAGCACATATTTTAGGATGCAAGCTGAATCTTAGCTCGCAAAATGAATACCAAGCGCTTCCGAAACCGAAATCGCAGAATTTCTGTGAGACCGCTTCTGCTTGTTGAATAGCTTATAATAAGTCTTCTCTCACCGTATTTCACCGCTTTGGCCAATTCTTGTAGAATTGACACCGATATCCCACAGAAACACACCGACCCATTGGAAGTGGCAGCTACCTGGTAGCTGTACCGAGCGTCCCGTTGACGCTAACAGTCAAATTGCTAACGTCTAGCGATTCAATGCTGCGCTGCCCACTCGAACACACCCGAGGCCCGCGCTCAAGCTCTGACTCTGACTCAGACTCTGACCGCTCAAACTCTGACTCTGACTACTCAAAGTCTGACTCTGACTGTCCAAACTCTGACTCTGACTCTGACTGAATAACCTAAGAATAACTTAAGAAACCTAAGAAACCTAAGAAACCTAAGAAACCTAAGAAACCAAAGAAAACTAAGAAACCTAAGAAACCTAAGAAACCTAAGAAAACTAAGAAACCTAAGAAACCTAAGAAACCTAAGAAACCTAAGAAACCTAAGAAACCTAAGAAACCTAAGAAACCTAAGAAACCTAAGAAACCTAAGAAACCTAAGAAACCTAAGAAACCTAAGAAACCCAAGGACCTATTAAGAAACCTTGGAAACCTTCAGAGTCAGAGTCAGACTTTGAGCGGTCAGAGTCAGACTTTGAGTAGTCAGAGTCAGAGTTTGAGTGGTCAGAATCAGAGTCAGAGTTGGAGTCTAGGCCCACACCCGATGGAAATCGTCGCACTGCATGACCTAGCGTAGAAATTGTTATTAGTTTTCGGTTGCGAAACTTTTTGCAGACTGCAGCTGACAATTACAATTCCGTTTATGTACCATAGACCGCCAAACCATAGACTGGTACACATTAATGTTCTCATTAATGTGTACCAGATGTTTTCTTTTGTACGAGATTACCTCGAACGAAAAGTAATCGATTACTGCTTTACCGCTTTTGTACAGTAAGCAAGAACTCGTTACACTGCATCGTGCGATTTCGGTGATGACGGCGAAATGTGATACGCAATAAAGAGAAATTTTTGCCCTGCACTTAACTTTTGTAGCAAAGCGTATGACTCCAAAAGCAGAAAACAGTGATGTTGATTGAACACTGTCAAACTCCCAGAAGGCTTTGCTTGCAAACGCTAAAGCCAAACGAACATGACTTTGCAATTCTTGGCTGTAAAACAAAAAATTGTATATAGCAATTACTAGTGATCACTGCTCACGGAGCATATATTATATGTCGTACTGATTTCGTGTTTCGCCGTACTCATAAGCATCTTGCCATAAGTATAGCTTCAGCTTCTTACTAAGCCGCACGGGACTTAATTTTAATTTGCCGCAAATATCAGGGGTGATGTCATCGATCAGAGATTTTTTTACGCAAAATGTTTACAAATAACATGCGATAGCGGTTTTTTCAGCCTTAGGCAGAACATAAGACATCATTCATGCTTCTGGCGAATGGCTGTGTGACAATAAAAATGCGCAACGGTTTGCTATCTCTTTTTAAATTGTGTGCAATGAAATTTCCGGTTTTCGAATTATGGTATAACCGACAACTGTGGCCGCCTGTTTCATGTTTCTTTCGAGTCATGAACAAATTTGTTTTTTCTTTTACTTCCGTTTTCGTCTGCCTAGCCGCTCCTCGAGGTAAGTGAAATAAGTTCTAGAAGCCTGCGTAAATATGTTACGTTAAGTGGGTACTACGAAGTACGATTGTCTCGTCGAACAAACCAAAAAGTACTGAAACTACATGTATGCAGACTCCAGAGTAAGCAAAAAATTTTTGCCAGTATTGCGCAATCGGATAGACAACAAACAGTGGACGGCTTTTCGCATATAAATCACAAATACACTGATAATAAGTATCTTTCTCTAACTGACTCTGCTCAAGCGGTAAGCGATAATTTTAACAGTGGCAACCACAATTCAGCGCAGCGGTTAGATGCACAAAACTCTATAGTTAAAGCTACTTGTAAACCTACTCCTATAACATTCGCGCACCGGTAGGGAGCGATTAGCAGAATCTCTGGATAGTCCATAAAAAGACCGCCAAAATCAGTGTACCCGTCGTTACGGGTGCCGAAAAGAGTACCGGCATTAGCATTATAATTGCTACCAGTACCATTAAAAAGCACCATTACCTCTAACAGTGCCATATTTGCTACCACTAACAGTTCAGTACCATAACATAGTACCACCACCAGAACCAGTACCATTACCAGTAGCAGTACCGTTCTTGCTACCACTAACAGTACCAGTACCATAAGACAATGCCACTACCAGTAACAGTAACATTGTTAGTACAGTGGACTTAAAAAAGGTGATACATTCGGTCCGCGACCGACAGTTTATTAGTCAAGACCAAATGACCAATAAAATGACCAATAAACTGCAAACGTGCAACTGAGCACAGACTCATGCTGAATTCAAACACTTGCGTGGCGCATAGTTCCGAACGTGGAAACTGGAAACCATCCACCGGTATCTCAAACGAAAGAAAAAAACAATTACAAGAATTTTGATACCAAAAAAGCTGTTTTTTATGGGATCAAAAAGAAAATCGAGGCACTCAAAGTTTCTTGTAGACAAACCATAGAATTTGAATCCACGATTGAGTTTCAGTTTTCACGCAGAAAAAGTATGCTTTGTATACGAGAAACTTTAAGTGCCTCGATTTTCTCTTGGATCCCATAAAATACATTATGTTTGATATCAAAATTCTTATAATTTTTTCTCTTTCGTTTGAGATATCGCTGGACAGTTTTCGTTAGGAAATGTGCAAGTTGCAAATGATAATATCAGCAGGCCGATGGCCAGCACGGAATTTGGGTGTTTGAGTACAGGTAAGTTCCTGGTTGCGCGCGTTTTGTGGGTGGGTGGGTTTTGTAACACGTTTTTGAATTCCATTGTACTACCCCCGCTGAGCTCCGGACCCGGTCGACTGTCAGCTATCAACTACGCCATGAGCTACATATAAGCTGTCAGCAATGACTCACTTCCAACGGCCCTTCAACGCAGCGGTTGGATGGTCGAAACGTTTGTCTAAAATAGCATGATAACCTAACTATAAATGAGGCGGTCTCTGGATTTACTTGTGTAACTCATTCGTTGCACCCACTTCGGCATGGGGAAGAGTGCAATGTGCTCTAACAGCTCAGGCGCTGGGTGGCCGACAAAGTGACTGCCAAAAACGGGAATTCAATAATTAACCCCAGAAAATGTTTAAGCATGTGAAATGTGAAATCTTTCCACATTACGGCAGTTTGCAAAGCAAAAGATAACAAGCGGCATTTTGTAATATACTTTAAGTACTCGTACTGTTGCAGCATACTTTCGCGGGACTGATTTAGTCGGCTTTCGAGCATATTTGCACATAAAGCCTTCAATCAACGGTACAATGCCCAGTCTACCCATGGTTAGCATGGTATTGCCATGTTTGGTGCACACTGTACTCTGTACACCAGCAGAGTTGCAACACACAATAAGTACATAATTATATTTGTGCAGCGGCTGCACAAGCTGCACACGCTTGTCTACAAGCATCAGTTGTAACCGTCTTTTAATTATCACAAGCAGGACGCGCGGCGCTTACGCGCCGCGCTAACGCGGCTCACAGTTTCAAACGGCTTAAAAGTGCGGGTACCGCACGCGTGGCCTTCGGTGACCAAAGCCTTCGGTGAACAAAGGCTTAAAAAACCTTCGGGGACCAAAAAAAGTGGGCACCGCACGCGTGGCCTTCAGTTACCAAAGGCTTTAAATGGCTTGTACCGCGCACGCAGCTGCCGGTTGCAAAAGGCTAAACAGTGGATCCCGCGCACGCACCTTTTGGTTTCAAAGACGTAAGTCAATTACTAAGTAGTGACTGACTTACGTGGCCTCCAGTTATAAAAAGCTAGAAGGTGGATTCTTAAGGTTACGAAAGCATAGTAAGCACTAAAACTCAAGGTAGAATCTGGATGATTTGAACATTTGGACTGAACAATGTACGGGTACTAAGAACTCGAAAGCTTAGTACAAATGCTAAAGGGAAGATCTGGCTGTTCTGGCTATCCAGGCAATCTCTTACAGGTGCTTAGGTTTTGGAGGGTTCTGGATGATTCGGTAGTTCAGGCTGATCTGTTAGTTTTAGACTGATTTGCCAGTTCTGGCTGATTTGGTAGTTCTGCCTGATCTTGCCGTCCTGGCTGATCTGTGAGATCTGGATGATCCGTTATTCCAGGCTGATCTGGTAGTTCTGGCTGTTCTGGCGGATACAGCTAATTAAGTAAAAGTTTGCTACGTTCCAAATGTTTCAAAAGCTTAGTAAGGACAAACGATTAAAGCAATAGGTCTCAAAAGCTGAAAAGGCTCAAAAGCCGTAAGGCGGGTTCTGGCCAATCAGGAAGATTTGGAGGCGGGAGTGTGACGCAGAGACAGCTCTGCTTTAATATAATGAAGACAAGCAGGACGCGGCCACGGCTTCAATCGGCTCAAAAGTGTGGGTACCACATGCGTGGCCTTCAATGACCAAAAGCTTCAAAGGTTACCATAGGCTTGAAAGGCCTTGGGTGACCACAGGCTTAAACGGCCTTCGGTGACCAAAGGCTTAATAAGGCGAGTACCGCACGCGTGGCCTTTCGGTGCGTAACTTTTGAAGGCTAAAAGGGTTCATCCGGCACACGCACCTTCCACAAAAAGCTAAAGGGTTCATCTGACACACGCACCTTCCGGTGCAAAAGGCTAAAAGGGTTCATCCGGCGCACGTGCTATCTGGTTGCAGAAGACCAAAGGGGTTCATCCGGGACACGTACCTTCTGGTTGCAAAAGACGAAAAGAGTTCATTCGGCACACTCACCTTCGGGTTGCAAAACGCTAAGAAGGTGGATCCCGCACACGCACCTTGAGTAGCTCTGGCTGATCTGTTAGTTCAGGCTGATCCGGCAGATTTGGTAGTTCTGGTTGGGCTAATAGTTCTGGCTAATCTGATAGTTCTGGCTGATTTGGTAATTTTGGCTGACCTGGTAGTTCGGGCCGATCAGGCACATTAGGAAGCTCTAGCTCATCTAATAGTTCTGGCAGATTTGGTAGATTTGGCTAAGTAAGTGGAGGTTACCGTACTAAGGTTTCTGAAGCATAGGACCTCAGCATAAAGGCAGGAGGTTTAAAGGCTGTACCAGCCAAAAAGCCATAAAGCTGGTTCTGGCCAATCAGAAAGACTTGGAGGCGGGAGTGTGACGCACAGACAGCTCTGCTTTAATTAAATGACAAGCAGGACGCGCGGCGCTTACGCGCCGCGCTGTCGCGGCCCACGGTTTCAAACGGCTTAAAAGTGTGTGTACCGCACGCGCGGCCTTCGGTGACCAAAGGCTTAAAAGGCCTTCGGTCCTTCGGTGACCAAAGGCTAAAAAAAACATTCGGTGACCAAAGGCTTAAAAGGCCTTCGGTGGCAATGGCTTAAAAGGCCTTCGGTGACCAAAGGCTTAAAAGGGTTTCGGTCCTTCGGTGACCAAAGGCTTAAAAGGCCTTCGGTCCTTCGGTGGCCAAAGGTTTAAAAGGCCTTCACTGACCAAAGGCTTAAAAAACATTCGGTGACCAAAGGCTTAAAAGGCCTTCGGTTACCAAAGCTATAAAATGCCTTTGGTAACCAAAGTTCAAAAGGGCGGGTACGGCACGCGTAGCCTTCGGTGACCAAAGGTTCAAAAGGGTGGCCACCGCACGAATAGCCTTCGGTGAGCAAAGGCTCAAAGGGCGGGTACCGCACGCGTAGCCTTCGGTGGCCAAAGGCTCAAAGGGCGGGAACCGCACGCGTAGACTTCGGTGACCAAAGGATCAAAAGGGTGGGCACCGCACGCGTGGTCTTCGTTGACCAAAGTCTTATAAGGTCATCGGTGACGAAAGGCTAATTAATATGCTTACCGCATGCATGGCCTTCGGTGACTAAAGGCTTAAAAGAACCCTCGGTAATCAATCGCCTAAAATACATTAGTTACCAAAAGCTTAAAAAGCACTCGCTGACTAACAGGTTTAAAAGACCCTCGGTAAGCAAAGCCTAAAAGGCCTTCAGTGACTAAAGGCTTAAAAGGCCTCCGTGATCAAAGGCTTAGAAGTCCTTCGGTTACCAAAGACTTAAGATGCCTTGGGTGATCAACGGCTAGATAAGGCGGTTACCGCATGCGTGGCCTTCGGTGACCAAAGGCTTAAAAAGCCCTCAGTACTTAATCTAAGCCTAAAAGCCCAAAGGCTGCATGCACGCGTGACATTCGGTAACCATAGGCTTAAAAGACCCTCGGTAACCAAAAGCCTAAAAGGCCTTCAGTGACCAAAGGCTTGAAAGGTCGGTTACTAAAGGAATTATAATTATAAAGCGGCTACGCGGCTTCGGTTACTAAAGGAATTATAATTATAAAGCGGGTACCGCACGCATAGGATTCGGTGACCAAAGGCCTAAGGAACTTTCACTGGCCAAAGGCCTAAAAGACCTTCGGTAACCAAAGGCTTATTAAGGCCGTTACCGCATGCGCGGCATTCGATGATCAAAGGCTTTATAAGGCGGGTATCGCACGCGGGGCCTTCGGTGCGTAACTTTTGAAGGATGAAATGGTTCATCCGGCACACACACCTTCCGGTTGCAAAAGGCTAGAGCGGTTCGGCACACGCTCAAAAGAGTACAGCTATTCCATGGTACCGCACGCAAGCCTATTGACTGCGCTATGGTGCGAGAATGTTTCATAAAGTTTTTCAGAGCTTCATAGTTTCACAAAGCTTTCTAAAGAACGAACTTCTGAAATAATGTTAGTGAGTTTGGCACGGCACCTCTGGATGGTTCTGGACGAATTGGTAGTGCAGTCTGATCCGGAGGGGCAGGTAATTCTATTTGATCTTTAATTGAGGCTGATACGCAGATTTGGTATTTTTGGCTGATCTGGTAGACCTGGTTCTTCTAGTTCATCAGGTAGGTCTGGCTGGCCTGCTAATTTTGGTTCATCTGGCTTATTTGGTAGTTCTGTGTGATCTGGTGGATCTAGTAGTTTTGGCTGATCTGGCAGTTCTGGTTTATCTGGCAGTTTTGGCTGATCTGGTGGTTCTGGCAAATCAAGTAAAAGTTCGTACAGACACTAAGGTTTCGAAACGTTACTAAGGCCTTAGGCTGAAGGTAAGATCCAGCAGATCTGGTTAATCGGGTAAAAATTCGTACAGGTACTAAGGTTTCGAAAGCTAAGTAAAGACTTTTGCCTGATAGCAACGAAGGTAAAAAGGCTGTGCAGGCCTAAAAGCCGTACGACCGGTTCTGGCCAATCAGAAGGTAAGGCTAGTTCTGGCCAATCAGAAAGGTTTGGAGGCGGGATCTGTTCGAACAGAGAGTCGTGCTTTAATAAACTGGATTACAGCGGGCATTGCCCAGCCACACACCAGTGCGCAGCCACCCACCGTCTGCTTACAGTGCTATAGTCAGGTTACCGAATCTTGCGGTAAACGGTTCGACGATGAAAAAGTGCAGCAGGCGTTATGTGACGCCGGATATTGCTATACATACGTCAGCGTGAGGTGATTTTCTTTAAAATGTGGTCATTAGCGTTCAAGCGATACAAAATCGGATAAGTTTGATTGCACTAACTATCTTACAAATAAATTCAATTTTTAGCAATAATCGGAACATTTTTAATCGCAGATGTTTTCTTATGTTTTCTTATGTATTCTACATTTTTTTATGTTGTTGGCGTTTGCATATGTTTCTTATGCTTTTTTTATTTGATCGTGTTTCTTATGTTTTGCGAGTACTTGCCAGAGCAAATTTTCCGGATCAAAAATCAGACAAATTTGGAATTCTATCATTTGCAGAAACACAGTAAACCATTCTAGCATAATCAGATAATATTTTTACATCTGGAGGCAAATCCCGAGACATTGATACAAGTAGGTTTACACAAAATCAAATCAATAATAAAAATATTTAAGTAACGCATTATCATCGCACGCATGCGTACGTGTACACTACACTTACGATCCGCTTTTACGTTTACCCTGTAATATGTATGTTAATGTTTTTCATACCATCGGTTCCAAAAATATATCAATCAGTACTATTCCGGTTTTTGTTTAATAACAAAATGCTTGTGCTGTTTTTGTACATTTCAAATATTGAGCATTCCATAGCTCAGTAACAAAGTTGCGCATGAAGACGGTTTCCGGTCGATATGTTGTATGTACTCGTATATTTTGACACTGCTTAACCTGTGCTAAAACTGTGCTGACTGTATGGCACGTACACATGTCGAATTCGAAATTCGGACAGTCGCAGCCGAATGGTGTTGGGTTTTTTTCGTCGCACCAATCTGCGCGCGCAATAATGGTTTGATCAAACGATTAGTATGCACACTGTTTTGTGGATCTGTGGCATAACATCGCCAGCGATGTTATTCATGTTATGTTATTGTTCCACGGATTCAGAGAAACAATACCGGAAGTACTTCGCCTTGAAACGCTGTAATTTTCAAATATTAATGTGAAAGATAATTGATCAGTGTATTAACTGGAACGTAATTCTCTTCCATAGGTAGAAATTGGCTCCGTGCCGCAGGTATGGCGTGGCTGCGGCGGTGTATCCTGCAGCCTAATCCCAAACCCAGGCGCTCCTTCAGAGTACTGCGACGAAGCGGGCCGGCTGGTGATTGTGAACACCAGCAACGGAGAGCTTTTCAACCAGAGCCGCTCATTCGGCTTCTATGGACCCTTCGGGCCGAAGCAGACACGGGTGAGCGGCACTGTACGGAACTGCGACGTAGGCTCAAACTGCAATTCCGAGTCCGCGCACAGTTTAGTCCTGCAGAACTACCAGCACCTCGCCGTTTCAGATTCTCAAGTCAGCGACGTAGCAGTGTCCGGCGGGTAAACAATAAACCTGCACTTACCGCGATTACAATCACATTTTTTCAGTTTTCTGCATACGTGCTTTTACGCCGGCGTACCGAATTACCAATTACTTGCTTCGCTTACTTGTTTTGCTTGCTTCGCTTGCTTGTTTTGTTTCGCTCCTTTTCTTTTAGAACGCCGTCCAACCACGACCTCCCCAGAACACCGGCTATCGAGGATGTTATCGTCATTACAACCAACAGCAGACGTGAAACTGAGCGCATCTTTCGATGCAAATACTACCTCAGTTCGCACACGTCCTGAAGCTAGAGGCAGACAATTCGGGCTTAATCATACGAATACAGACTACTGGACGGTACTCACCAGCGGAAACATCGGACGGCGTACCTCTTCGGCTAGTCACATACAAAGTCCACGGAGTTTCTATCGGTTGGAATAGCATCAGCACCATGCTTGATAACGTGCATTCTAGAATGGGGAGTGTCGGTCTCCCGGATGTGTGGGCTGTCCCGAATGATGTTCGAGCGCTGATACCAGTGTAGGAATTCCAGTTACAAAACAAAACAGTTCTTTGTTGAATGCCGAATTTGCGCCTGATGCGAAATGCAAAAAAAAACGATCAGCTGTTACCTTAGCGTTTCCTGATAATACGGAATGGCCGCAATATGTATGGGTGCCGTCATTGATGCACATCCAAAATTAATTCAACGTTACATGTTGTGGACTCAAGTAGGCGGATAATTTTGTGACGTTCTTGGTTTGCTTTGAAATATTTATTATCGAATTTATTTTTAAAGGTTCTATGAGCAGTTTTAAGTACTGTAGTGACACCCTGCACTTGGAGAAATTTTGTACAGTATGAGCAGCACGGTACTGTAGACAGGTGGATTTAAAGCCGATTGCGTTCAGCCAATAGCCAGCAGTCTGCATGCAGTTGCAAGCCGTGTATGTGAGCAGTGAACGCAGTCGTACAACGTACGCGTGGCTGCACAGCTAAAACTTTCTCCGAGTGCAGGATGTCAGTACAGTACTGTATGCGAAAAAATGCTAACTTTTTTGGTTTGGTCTGATCGTAAATTTTAGTCTGCGTAACTCTGAGATATGATTACGGGTGGACTTGGCATATGGGCCTACAACATGTAAAACTGGAATTTAGAAAACCGATATGGCTGCGCACTCATAGATTCTATGTCCGAAGCGTCATACACAGCGCAATGCTGTTTGTCTGCAAGTTAGCGAAGCAAAGTGGGAGCTAATGGTCACTGGAGATTCTGTAAGACTCTCAACGCACTGTCGTCGCAATGTTTCTGGAGCGCGCTATCCAAATCTGCGTATCGTCTCCAAATCAGCGCGCAATAGTCGTCTTCCAAGCAGATGGTGCGCGTAGCGTGGGTGACGTGTCTGGACAGACAGTTCAATACAACAAAAGCGGCTCAGAGTCGGCTGGACGGACGGCTATCGGCATGCTGATCTGGGGTATTGATAATATCATTCCACAGAGGACTCGAACGCGTCGACAGCGTTAACGATCGACGGTATCCGGAAGATGTTTTTAACAACACGACCGGAGCGATCCTTCAGACGGAAGATGTCTTCTAACAACACCATTAGTAGTGTAGATGCGTGTTCAGCTGTATTGTCGGTTGCGTCAGACGCTTCCGTGGCGTTTGTTCGTCTGAGGCTGTCCGATTCTGAATCTCCGACTTGAGCTTCGGTGCAGGTATATAACAGTCGAGAAAAGACAAAAAATCAATATCTTTTCACGGTTTGCAACTTATCAAGGAAAAAATTCGACTACACGATGATCTTTCGTGCTCCTAATTTTTGGAGCACCTCACGCTTCGGTTGCCTACTAATGCAGCGCATTAGCGGCAGAATATGGGACCTGCTCGTCAGAAAACAGAAGCAGTCAACAGATTTGTCTCTAGAAATTGCGCCGGCTTACATACTGTATTCGGGATGAGGGTTGGCAGGTCGTGCCGTACGCTCATTTCAAGGAGTTGATGAGTAATTTGTACCAGAATTTGTATTAGTGTAGCAGTTTGCTCAGTGAGCGAACTGTCATACTGGCAGAGCTGATAACGCACTTTTTACATGATAGTTAAAGTCCAACAGTGCTAACGTGGGTGACTCCAACTTGTGGTAGTATATCCAAATTATTGATTCTGTAACGGAAAACGATTGATGTGAACTACAGCATTGCTTATAAAAACGTCAAACTGAACTGGCGTATTTCGGAAGCAAAGCTGGCCAGAAAAACGTAAAATACTAACGATAGGCGGATAAGTACTGTCATTAAGACTTGATAATACTTAGTGTTTTGTGTCATTTGGTTGCTGCTGCATTTTGCCGATGCAATATTAGGCAACATATTGACCATTTATGTGAAATTAATGAGAGTATTACAATTTCTGCAACATTAGCCGCAAAACCACTATACGTGCATGCTTGTACTCAAAAGATCCAGTTTAAGTCAGATGACTATCTGCTTTCTGCACTTTTTCTGCGCAGGGTCTAAGTGGCAACCGACAACCGGTAATGCACATTTTGAATTACGAAAGTTATATTCATGACACGAGATTGCGTATTATTTGTTACGTTCGGCGCAAAGGTCTCTCGGGATCTGCACCTGCTATGAGATAGGTGTTCCTGTAGATCGACTAAGGACAAATATTGTTGCTAACGCCATCATCAAGCGATACGTCCATATGCATCTCTGGGATTCGATATTTCTAATTTTTCTTTCGTTGTTCTGTCGTGCTCATCAGGGCGTAGTGCCACACCACCGCCTTCTCAATGGAATGATGATCGTGGATTAAGCTTTCAAGTCCGTACGTACCGAAGCGCGGGAACTGACGCCTGCTTTAATTCAGTCTTTTAATTGGTTCTGCCTGCTAAATTTCTCTTTGCCAGTGTTAACCAGTGTCCAAGTTGTCGTATTCCATTAAATTTAATCGATGCAAATTGAAAAGAAATTTGCATTGTGCAGCCAGAAGCCAATTTCACATGTCCCCGTGGCACGCGGGTGTGTATCTGCCGTGTACTGCTTAGGAGCATCGAATGGATTATGATGTCCAGAGAACGGGTGATTTCCTTGTACTGAAAAAATTACTCTCCGGTGCATGAAATGCCGGGGTGTCCGTCTGCATAATGATCGGAGAAATTCCGGAGTGTTATGTAGTTATCTGAGCCGCAGGACAGGTGTTAATCATGGAATGCGACGATTTCTATCGAGTTTGTTCTACTGAACACCGAAATACAGGACCATCAGATATTGATTCTCTTGTCGTAAGCGTTTACGACAATGCTCCGTACAGTTACATGGTCTCCTCCAACGGGTCACTGTGCTTTTGTGGCGTGTCTGTATCCATTCTGAAAGAAATCGCCACCGCAATGAAGCTGAGGTAAGTGCAGATACGGAAACATACGCAAAAAATGCAACGAGAATAAATTTCATCGAGTTATGATTGTGGCCTCCAGACGATCAGCTTTTAAAAAGTCCAAAAGGAACCTAAAAAACTGTAGTTTAGCTAAATGCAACACACCTGTCTTGCGAAGCATCAGCCTGTGGAACAGCTGTCGCTAATACTCGCTATCAACATATAACGCCAAAACCAAGAAACCAGTAATTTCAGAGTATTTCCGCTGCATATGGTATACAAGCGCAACCAAGTGGGCGATACAAACAACGAAAATGACCCATACATTGTGCGCGTTTTCAGGCTGACGTGGCTACCATATCGAAATCCGGCTGAATACAACACATCACTGGGTGGACCCCTCGTGGATGTGCAGGAGAACCGTGCGGACATCAGTCTATACTCCGTATCAACTACGCAACAACGTCTCCTGGAGTTCGATATGGTGCCAATGTATTTCGCGCGATCGTACGAAATGGGCATCCATAGTCGGTACCTGCAGATAGGCGGACAGAACATAATTTTGCATGGACTGGTTGACAGTCTGAACAAAAATTCTTGGATAGGCACCGGTATCGTGTCCTTGTCGGCCATGTTGATATTTTGGCTGACCAATGCCGTTGCCGTCTGGCTTCGAGCACCAAGAGATAGTGAACCCTTTTTCTGGCTTCCGGTTGTAGTAAAGAGCTTCTATAAAACCATCGTCGAAATTGTCAGCCTGACGTTCAGCCAAGGTATAATTCAGTGCCATAAATCGTCTCTGCCGACATGCCGCACCATTAAATCAATAAACCGGTAGAATGGTAACATACAGTACTTGAGGAACAGACGAAGCATTGTAAATACGAGAAACGGGAATTTGGGATCATTATTCGTGTTTGCAGATGCTCTTCCAACACCCAGCCTTGTGACGTACCAACTGATCGTATCAATCTGGTGCGCCTGGGTCCTAATTATTATGACCGTCGTGACAAAATCTCTGACGGCGACACTCAGCGTCAACCTCCCCCACATTGCCATTTAATTCACCGGAGTCCTTTGTTGCGTCGGATTTTGTTGTTTTGGAGCGGCCATTTGACGGCCGTGTCAGTGTGTTTCAATGGGAGGGCTACAGTGCGCTAAGAAAAAAGGAGATTATCGTGGGACGTGCGGAGTCGGACGATGTGTTGCGTGATATCGCGGCAAATGCTTCGCTACACTTGAAGGCGGCGGTAGTCTGCTCGTTTGGTGATAGTAATTCCTGTACCAATCGAGGCATTATTCCTGCCTTTAGTTTGCGAGTGTACCGCTGGGTATCGGTATTGCAGCTCAAAGCGGATCACCGTTTGACCAAACCTCTTACGATACGGTGAGAAGCAACAGCGGCATTTCCTTGCGCTAAAGAATACGAATTCAGTAGTACTGAGATTAATTTAGGGTGGTATACTGTAAATTGGTACTGATATCTGCAGAGTCCAGACCCTACTGCAAGCCGGCATTACCAACCACCTCTTCGATCTCCACAGATTAATGTCGGCTAATGCGCGGGGAAAGGTGGTCTACCACTCCGAGAGCAATCATGATTTCGAAAATGCCGATTTTGCTCAGAATTTGGCATGGGATAAGTGGGAAATGGTGTTTTACACAGGCGCTGCTTTACTGGCAGCGTCGCTAGGAGTTTTTATTCTGGAATTATTGACGAGCTGGTCATTGGCTTGTGCCAGAACTCTTACGGCTACACAATATTGCTTGCTTGATTATAAAAGGCCATAAAAGTAAAAACCCGGGAAATGTGACAAAATTAAATAATTTTGAGCATTTCACTGAATCAATACGGCCGTTGCGTTCGCATGTCAAACGTTTACAAATTGCCGTTTTTACCAGTCATGACTCATATAAATACGAGTGTGCACACTGGCGGGATAGACGCTAGGTGCGGTAATCTGAAAGGTCTAGATAGCCCAGCCTGTGCAGCGCTTCGACCAATTACAAAGCTAGGCGCGTCACTCTGCTACAAGAAAATGTAAATTCCCCCACAAGAAGTTGCGCATGAGGTGTACATGTTTGTAAAGAACCTCTGCTGGGAGTTATGTCAAGTGGATGCGATCTCATGGCGGTTATGTAAGTCAATTATGTAAGTAAGTGATGTAAGTCTAGGCATTGTGGAAACCTGTCTCTGAAGAACAGAGCTATGTTTTTCTTTCGCAGCTGCAGCCGAACCGTTCTCCTTTGCGAACAAAATATAACGCACCTGCCTTCCATACCGTCATCCTGTAAAACAGTACTAGTAACTCTATCGCCGTTTTTTTTAACCATTTCATGTCCGCCCGGATCAAAAGGCAACGCACACAACACAGCAGTAGCATTTCCCTTAATGACAGCCAAACTAAAGCAGTGCTTGATAAAAACAGTAGAACACGCTTCCCCTGTTAATTCACGAGTCTTACGGACCCCAAAATGTACCAGCTCACTCAAAGCTGGGCCGAAAACACCAAGCGTTTCCACAACTAAGGAATAGAAGAGGTGTCTACTTTCCAGTGAAGAGTATTTCCGTCGCTTTGCATTTTATGCCAGGTGAGCCACACTTCCTGCATTCTT